AGTGGTGAGCAAGAGATAAGGGGTTCTTATCCTCAGGAAGCTTATAGTGCATCAACTGTGCCAATTAATAGCTTCTGTGATCATGGGAAAGTCATTCAATCTCTTCGAATTTCAACTACTCCGAATGTTAATTCGCTGGCAATATCTACAAGAGAATGGTATATAAGAGGATTCAAAGAGCTAATATATGTGAACTTGCTCCGAGAAGGGCTGTTTAAATACAAGTGTTTGCTGAATATTGACGTTTTCTACCACATGGATACCACAAAACACTTGTTCTACACAGACCACTAGCTAGGGCGTGTGAGAGCCTTTGTTTCTCTTCCTACTGCCCTCAGGAGCCCATGTGTCCTTACAGTACCTATGAAGCCTGAGAAAAGACTACAAGCCCTTGGACCAATTAGTTACTGCATATTCCATGAGTTTCATGGTGAAACATCAAGCTATACCAAGTGAAGCAGGTTTTTTTACACATTCATTTAACAAATATTTATTGAGTGCCTTCCCTTTGTGGCATTCCCTAGTGAGGAAGCCAAGAAGAAAACCATTTTAACAGTTGACTTAATTGATTGATTTTAAATTGGCTTGGAGCTTGAGGGAAACAGTCTTGAGGTAGAGCCACACAAGGAAAGACTTACTTACACTGGTTAACCTGGACAGAAAAGGTCTCTGCAAAAGAGTGGGACTTCAGCTGACACCTAAAGAACAAGAAACTGCCTATCTGTAGAGAGGAGTAGGGGTATCCAGGCAGAAGAACCCATATATGAGAATGCCCCAAGTTGAGGAAGAGTTCTGAGAAGGTTGACAGGAAAAGACTATGAAATGGAAAGGGTTTGTGGAGTCATTTACCTACTCTCATAAACCACTTATTCCAGAACTTCTCAGAGTCTTTATGCTGATGTGTACCTTGATGCTCCATCAGAAGGATCCTGAGTGTAGTTCCTCCCAAATCTGATGTCAGACCTCTGGAAGACTAGTCCCCCCAGAATACTCTGGGAAATAATCTCTTAAAGTGTTGATAGTTCTATTAGTTCTGATTGTTTCAAGACACAGGTGGTTTGAAATGTGCCCCCCCCCCCCCACCCGCCCTCTCACAAGGCTGCTGATACCTTAGCTAATTATTCGGAGTGTCTGATATGGTTCTCTGAATTCTGGCAGGACTCATTTACAAAGCACGAGATTTCCATAGGTGGACCGGTATATGAGCCCTGGCAAGTCAGATACACATTCAAACTGAAAAATGACTGTGTGAAAACCTGATTTTTAAATGATTAAATTCAACAGTGATAATCACCTATCCTCTTATACCCTAAGTCAAAGGCAGGGAAAATGGGGAAAGGACAGAACATTGCTTTTATTTATTGTCAATACATGTACCATGCAATATAAACTTGAAAAAAGAATTACTCTTTGGCAGCAGGAAAAACATCTTACGTTCCTTTAGATTTTAACATCTAACTGCCTATTTCCTTATTTTGCTGTTTTGTGGGAAAAAACCTAAAACTTACCTCACTTTTTCTGTACTTTATGAATGAACACTCTAATTGCCACACAGGAGAATGCTGGGTTTTCTACCTTTAAGATGTTACCTGGATTCTAAAATCACTGTGGTCCCAGTTCTGCTATACGTTTTACACCTAGCTGGCTCACTTACGAATTACATGGATAATTACAGAAGTGAAAAAACCATTTTTACCAAAACAGCACAGGATTCTTGAAAGATATTGTTAGTCTTTTAAATGAATCTGGGCCATCACTATCACCTCCTTCTTTCCTTTTAATAACCTCCTCAGACACGTTCCTCTTTTCCCTTACATCCAAAAATTCAAAATCAGATCAGACACCTGCTATTCTTCCACATTCAAAACTATCTCTGAAACCAGCAGTAGCTGTGTATACATAAGGGATGGAGGTTTAGGCCCAGAGAGAGTTAAATTAATATCCTGGCTTCACCAGTTCAACTTACCGTACATCTTCATTTGCCCAATAACACAATCTATAGCCAACTGCTAACCAAGTCAATATGTGGTAAGACTAACAGCCACCCTAACTTGCCTTGATAATTATTTTCCTTTAACTGACATAATATTCAATATACTGTTGTTGAGAGCAATAATGCTAAAATTGATGCCTTGAGGGCTACAAGACAATTGAGTTTTAGCCAGATAGAATGACTTGTATGCTAACAGTGGATTACAGGGTTCCACAACCTTTGGACACACCGTTTACATCTTCCTTGCATGAAAATGTTACATATAATTATATTCAAAGTCATTTGTGTATACCTTATCATTACTACATGTAATTTTTAAAATACTGGCCAATAACCAAATCACATTGCTTTAGAGGAAAAGGGTTTATTTCTCTGGCCTATTTCTTGTTTTTTGAGTTCTTTTTTTTTTTTTTAAACAAAATGAGCATTTCCTCACTACACCGTTTTGTGTCCTTCAACCTCTTGCTTTTTCCCTAAACCAAGAACCATTTTCACAAGGAAGAAACAGATGATAAATGCTAAGGAACAAAAAGCATCATTTAAGTAAAATCTATTTTACATCAATCCTATCAATAAAACAAGACCGAAACTAAACCTAGTATTCTTCTAATGTAAAAATTATCTATGATTTTCTCAAAATGTCAATTCTAGGCCCTGAATGGAGAAGCAGATTTTATTAAGTTTAGGCTTTGTCAAAATCTATATTAAGTTAATAAAAATTAATTATAACTCAAGCATCACAATAAATGACAGAATTTTTCATATGTAATATTTCACCCTAAAATAAGAGACTTTATAATTTTAAGTTCACGGTTTTGCTGAATTTTCCTCTTATATTTAATTTCTCTTGTGATTTTGTATTGTTAAAGCCTGGGCCCTCACACAAAAAGAAATATGGAGTACATTTCAAAGTACATTTTCTATGCATGCCTTAGAGATAGGCTGAAACAGAGAAAAGTTAACACTTAAATAATAATTTCAAGTAAAACAAAGAACAGGTACTGGTCAAGGCAAAACATCAGGACTGTATCGCAGAACAACCTGCAGGTTACAGATTTATTGCCATCAAAATGCGACAGTGAACTGGGTTGTTAAGAGGGTAACTAATCAGTCATGCACACATCCATTTGGACAGGAAGATACCATGCGTCTGCTCCAGACAGCTCAGGCAAAAACATACACATAGAACTGAAACACAGCATTGATGACAGAACTAAGCACCAGAGTGGAAGGGGTAAAGGTAGTACTAGACTGGGGTGTACTATCACAGGTTTTGAATAAAGAGTGCTTAGGCACTAACAGTGACTGTTCACACTAACGGTTCTGTTCAAATATGTGCAAGAGCTTTATTCCCTTCTGTAGAGTAAGAGCTATCCCAAATGGATATTAATAATTACTCTGTGGAAATGGATATAGAAGGATGTGGGACCATATCTATTCCAGACCAGTATGAGCAGGTACCATGCTTTATTTTTCCTGGCCTCTTCCTTCTGGACCTCATGCCCCCTCAGGTCCCCTGACCACCCAGGACTTAACTTTCCACTCACCCCACGAAATGCCCCCATCCTGAGGCAAATGAGATAATGCTTGTGAAAGTCTTCTATAAACTAAAAACGTAATATATAATTATTCCTATTATCATCATCATCTTGTCTTCCGAGGGCCAAATTCTCTGTGCCTTCCAAGCTGACACCTCACTAAACGAAGCAATGATTCATCGCCGACCAAAGCAGTCACAGGAGCAGACGGGTTCTTCCACTGTCGTGTCTCTCTCTCCTTCCTGTCATCACACCCCTCTGCTCTCCTGCCCTGGCTAACACCTGGAGGTACCACATAGGAGAATGACAGGAATGTGTGTGTTTTTATGCCAGGTTAAAGCAAGGGGGAGATGTGAGGTCCTCCACTCATCACATACCAAGCTGGCAGCCAAAACCTTGCACACAACACACGGTTATTCGGGGAATAAACAAGGCTGGCAGAGCCAAAAGCAGGGTTTTTGTTTTGTTTTGTTTTTTGAAGGGGGTCAATTCTCCTGGTATTATTCCCACAAGAAATTTTAAAAATCACTTCAGATTCTACCTTCTCCAACTGTGATCTCCTTTGGCAGGAGGGAGTACTTCTTCATCGTCCAGTGTAGTCTTTTTGGATCCTGGGGTCTCCCAACATGCTGTTTTCAACATTTACCCTTCAAGGGTCGTAGGAAGACAGATGGCCATAAAAACATTTCAGAGGCAAAGTACACAATGCAAAGCGACTCATGACATACTGCAAAAAATGACGAAAAATGCAGGGACGTTGGGGTGGGGGGGAAGTGGAGGCTGCAGGCCTCCAGGAGAAGTCTTAAGACCCTTACCAGGTCGCAAGTGCCACTGATAACAAAGAAGAGGCTCAGGTTGGAAGAGCAGGTGTTGTGAAAGCCAATTCTACAACCATGTATGTGTTTTGGAATGTGGAGGTTTACTGGTTACAAAAGCAGAGAGTTTACAGAGGTTATGGTTCTTTTGATTCAGATGAAGAAGCAATAATTAGGGCACACAGACAACCAAAAAAAACAAAACAAAACAAAAAACCATTAAACCTACAAATACGGTGCAAGCAAAAGCCCTACTAAGCCCAGAAGAAATGTAATCTCAGATTTTCACGAACACGTCACCCACCTCCAAGAGCCCTTCCCTTCAGTGGGGCTACAATCAGACTTGCTGGAGAAGCAGGAGGCCCACGTTGTAGGGAGAGAGAGAGCTGAGTTTAAAAAGATGCAAACAGCAATGCTAGGCAACAGGCCTCTTGTTCCTTTCTACCATCCACCCCTGAGGCCCAGTGCCAGCCTGCTGGGACACAGTTCCTTCTTTCCAGCTCTCTGACAAGCCTGCCGAAGGGACCACCTTAATCAGAAGAGCGTGTGCACACCCAGGCCTGTGAGGGGCAGGAAAGAGACCAGGTTGGCGAGGCTTCTCCCTCAACCCGTCCCGGAGCTGGCGGGACACCAGCGGCACCGTCCTCCCCCTACCTGAAGGATGTACCCCCGGACGTAGTCCCGCAGCGTCCAGCCCAGGCCATGCAGTATGTGCAGAACCTCCTCCTGCTTCAGGACACTGAAGAGACGGTCCAGCAGGATCTTTAGCCGCACGGGCACCGCCTGCGTCCCGTAGAGCATCAGGCTGCTGATGTCGAACACCACGTTGGACTGCACGATCTCCACCTGGGTGGGGTGGTACAGGTGCTGCGTGCTGAGCTTATCCAAGGCTGTGGTGGTCCCACCAGAGTTCCAGAGGTGGGCAGGAATACAGACATGGAGGGAAAGGGCAGAGACAAAGTAGAAACAAGTCACTGGATGTCATCAGGGTTCCATTTCCACAGATGGATCATGCCTACAGATGTTTAAGTGAGATCTTGCAATGGAAACAGTTCTCGGCCCACCTCCTCCCTGCTTTTGCCTTTTCCTTTTGATTTGGTATGTCTATAAATTACAGACAACAGCAAATACAAAACACATTCGACTTTCAGAAAGATAGCCCCTGAGGATGCTTCTCAATGCGTGAAAACCTGACGAATTTAATTTGCCAGCTGAACTATAGCTCAGCCCAAATTGCCATGGTGTCCCCCATCCCCCCTCCCTCAACAAAAACAGAGGGACAAACAATTCCAGACTCCTGCCATAAGCATAGGCCGAACCAATATCAGTTTTCTGAGTAAGACTCACCCCTTATCATACTTGAATGGTTTAAAGAGGAAGAGGAGCATGCTTTTTAGACTACAGGGTTAAAAAAAACCCATGTGAGGGGATAAAGGCTCGTAATGTAACTCAAGTGAAATTAGCAAGTAGGGATTATCCCAAGAGGTAGTTCTTCCAACTCTCCCTCTTGTTATTTACCTGTTAGTTTAATGTTCATTGGCCCGTTCAAGAAAAAGGAATTCACAGTGTAACTTGGTCACTTTTTATAAACAGCTCTGACAAGGGTTTAGTATCAGATGAAAATAGGCAAAGAATGACAAACATCAAAGTGGAAGAATTTCTGTGTATTTCAGGGGTGTTACCTCAGTACAGAAAACTGAGGATGACCATCCTCCCAGTAAACACTTCAGGCCTTTTTCTCCTCAAGTCTAAGAAGTTACATCTAGATCTAAAAGCCAAGATAAGGTCATACATTCTAGTCCCCATCCTTATCTGAGCTCCTGGGAACCCTGCTGCAGATAATGTAATTACATTTTTCCTCAGTTTCTCTACAGTGAACAATTAAGATAACATTGTCTCATCCACAAGGCTCAAAGAGATGCTGCAAAGATTAATGGGATAATGAGTGAGAGGTGCTTTGAACTCGTTAAGAGAGCACAAAAGCCTTAGATCAACTGTCAGAATTATACACAGATGACCTTCCAGAGATTAAAAAAGATAAACATGTGAGCCTGAAAGATGGTCATCTAATCTCATAAGTCAGGCAAATGGGTATCAGACAACAACCAGGCTCAAATCGTAACTACACCTGAGAGCGCCCAAGGTTTTTGCAAGTTCTAAAGGCACTGCCTGGCTTTCTCAACCTCTCTTCCCAGCACTGCAGACCCTCACAGAATAGACTCCTGTACCTGCGCAGTCTGAGCAACTCCTGTTTGAAGATGCCCGTATTTCTGCATATTAATGCAGGTATTTAAAAGTACACGCACACACACAATTTTTTTTAGTATTTCAAATGTATTTTTTCAGGGTTCCTCCTCCACTCTCGTTTCCTCCTGACTTGTGGTCACCAGAGAGTTCATGTACTCTTGATAAATTGCTTTCTTATATCCACAGTGTAAAGGCCCTTATCATTTACCCGCTGGCTTCATTCAACACATTTACTCCCAGGAATACTTTGTCAAAGAGTTCGGGTTTCCTCATACTTCATTTCTTGCAGCTGATTTGTCTGATCTTTCCTATTCTAGTGGTTAAGTCAACTTTGAATAAATAGCTTTAAAAATTAATTTAACGTTTGGGAAAGATAAGGGATTCACAAGCCTAGGGATTGAAGTCTTCTCTCATTCCATAGGGCATTTAGACTGCAAAAAATGTAGGAATGGGGTATTATTATCCCTGTTCTTCTTCAAGTAGAGCCTTACTACTCAGCCTTCTTATGGGTAAGCTGCTCTGCTTACAGAATCCAGTGACCAGGTCAGGGGAAATCTGCTCCTCTCTTGTTTCCCTTCATCCACCCCTCCAGGTCTGCATCAAACACTTCTTCACCAACTATACTGCTAGCACGACAAAACAGGAAATGAAGAGGGGACAAAAGAGGGGGGAAAAGAGGGGAAAAGAGATGACACCAAGTCTCGATTTCTGTTCCCATGTTTGGTGCCTACAGCCATGCATTAAGCACACACAGGTGTGTGTACCTATGTGTTCGAGGGCTGGTTGGAAAGCTGTCACCCTCTCTCTCCTGCTCCTCAAAAAAGGGCTGGCAGTTTAAGGAGGGAAAGAGGACTAAAGTGTTTAGGCTCCAGAAACAAAGAGAAGTTGTTCAGACAACTGAAAGAGCACAAGTGGAAAGGTAAAGCAAAAACATTTCCCTAGATATGCATTTGAGAACAACAGAGTAAGAATATACCTGATTTTTCTTCATAAATATGCCATGTCAAAAAGGAGAAATACTGTTATAGCCACATAAATACATGGCAGGGATCAACAACTTTTTCTGTAAAATGCCAGACAGTAAATATTTTTGGTCTGTGGATCAAACGTTCTGTTTCACAGGTACTCACTTCTGCTGTTACAGAGGGAGAGCAGATAAGACTTAAACTAATGGGCGTGTTGGCGTTCCAATAAAACTTTATTTACATAAATAGGCACCTGGCCACATTTATACTGATATAGAGGATGAAAGGGTAGCCCAGATATTTAAAGAAAGTCAACAGTAGATAAGGGAAAAAACCTGAGTGTGATTTAAGCAGCAATTATCTAGGAGATGAGTCTCAGACAAAGGACTGAAAAATTAAACTGTCCAGTTTGCAGGTGTCAACTACAAATTTCAACATGTACACATCATCAAAGATTATGACCTGTCAAATTTCTTGAATGTATCAAAATTTCCTGCCTTATGACTGCTGGATCATACTAAGTCACCAAGTTGTCGACAACTTTTGGGGATGTTGCCTAGGTGGGCAAAGGTTAAGTGGCAATTTTTTAAGTTATCCTAATAATGGTGGACTGAGTCTGCCTCATGTCATGATCTTCCTATATCTGACTGTGGAGGACGGAAGTCTGAGTCTTAGTGGGGTTAGGAATATGAGTTGGGTCAATGGGGTGAATAAAATGTAGGGCAAGAACTTGTTCAGCCGAATGGGAGTGAGAAAAGAGGGTCACCTACCTTTATACTTTATGTGTCTAACCATCTTAAATTGCTCTATACCAATGGTATTCCCCAAATTTCATTTTCAAATAAAATCTTAAGAAAAACTGGGTATAAAAACATATAAAAGTAAAACTATTCTTGATGAAGCTGGAGTGCGTGTGGATTAGAGAACTTTTAATAATTTGTCATTCTCTTCTTCCATTCAACTTGTTTAAGCTGGGACTCCTAGAGTTGCTGGAAGCACAGTGCAAAAAAAAAAAAAAAAAAAAAAAAAAGCACTTTTCTATACAATAAAATGATGTCAACTGCTTTGCCTGCTTTACGTCTATTCCCCTTCAACCTGGTACCAGAAATTGATTTCCCTTTGGGGAGTCACTCTTCCCCTACACGCAGTATCAATTATTTCGCAGACCAGAATGTTGTGTTCCTTGAGTCAGGTCTGGAAACCAGGATATCTCAGCCCCTGGCACAGCACCTGCTTCAAGAATGGGCAAGTAACCTAAGTCTGCATGGAGAGGCTGACTCTAGGATTTTAGTTAGAACTACTGGGAAGTCTTCTTTTTCCTGGAAATTTGCAGCCAATCTACATGCTTGAGAATGAGAATCACATGGAAGACCATCAGGCTGCAAGATGGTCTTAGAAAGACCAAGTACTGATAATAACGGTTTGATCCAGAAGACACAGATATGGCAATGTTAAGGCCGGAATTTTCAGTTACATGAGCCAAAGAAATCTCTCCTCACTCTCCTTTTTTTATGTCTGCCTGAAGCAGGATTCCATAATTTGTATCTAAAGGAGGCTTAACTAAGACAACCACTTTTGGGGGTACTTTTCCAGCTACATCCCATGTAATTTCAAAGCAGCTATCAGTGGTTCAACTAAAGGTATATTAGTTCCAGGCCCAATGCTACTCACAATTTATCCGATGACTAGAAATAGGGTGTCCTTAACAATTTCCTATCTTACACAACTTTACAAAGGGTAATGGATACCATCAACATTATTAGATAAGAAAAAATGGTGTGTTGGGGGGCAGATAAATAAATTGACCATTTAAGTACTAACTAAAAGTCAGGCATCATTCTAGGGGGTTACAATGATCTCCTTTAATCCTTCAAAAAAATTAAAAACACACAGAGTTACTCTTATTGCGTGTTCGGAGATCACAGGCTCAATGAAGTAAAGTAACTGGCCTAAGGTCACTTAGTTATTTCTCCCAAGAAAATTCTGTTTCCACCACATGTTCAGATAAACAGTAAGTCTGGAAACTTGCAAGTCTTCATCATGTTGGAAGTCCCTCACTCCCAGCAATCTGGGCTTCTTGCCATCCCTCTGCTGAAGCAAGCATTTCAAAGGTCACCAACACCTGCTTTACTGTGAAATCCAAAAGCTTTTCCCTTCATTGTTCTCCATGACCTCTTCACAGCAGCTGACCTTACTGATCACCACTCCTCCTGTAACGCTCTTCTCCTTCAATCATGCATACATTCATTTATTCACCTGCACTATTAACTCAACAGCAACGTAGGAGCTGCACGCAGAAGCTAAAGTAATTTATGTTGTGGCCTCCACCTTCAAAAGGAGACAGAGGCAACCAGTATAAATGCTATAAAAGAGATTTGATAAAGTACTGTAGGGTAACTGCCAGGAAGGCACAGTCTTACAAGATAACTAGGAATCAGCAAGTGAGAAAGGAGGAGCACAGTCTAGGTAGATGGAACAAAGGCCGGCATTCTCAAACATTACATGCATCAGAATCACCTGCGGGGCTTATTAGACCACAGATTGCTGGGCCACTGTCCCCAGAGTTTCTGGCTGGGGCTGCGGTGGGGACCAAGGGCTTGCATTTCTATAAGTCTCCACAAAATGCTGCTGCTGCTGGCCAGAGACCACACTTTGAGAACCACTGAACTAATGGGATA